ATATACAGGTGAAAAGTCAGAATATACAGGTGAAAAGTCAGAATATACTGGTGAAAAGTCAGTATATACAAGTAAAAAGTCAGTATATACCGGTGAAAAGTTAGTATATACAGGTGAAAAGTCAGTATATACAGGTGAAAAGTCAGTATATCCAGATGTAAAGTCAGTATATCCAGATGTAAAGTCAGTATATACCGGTGAAAAGTCAGTATATACAGGTGAAAAGTCGGTATATACAGGTGAAAAGTCGGTATGTTTAAGTGAGAAGTCAGCATATACAGCTTGAAGCCAGTATATGCAGGTTTAATGTCTGTATATCCATGTTAAAGTTTGTATATTCAGGTGTCAGATCTTTATATTCATGCTGAAGTCTGTATCCACGTTTATAGTCTGTATACAGTATACAGCTGTTTATAGTCTGTATATATACAGGTATATTTAAGTTTTGAGGTCCTTATCAGTCCATATATCCATTAATAAGGTCCGTATTCCCAGTTTTAAGGTTTGTATCCAGGTTTAACGTCGTCTGTATATCCAGGTTTAAGGTCTGTATATCCAGATTTAAGGTATTGTTATCCAGATTTAAGGTATGTATTCCACATCCAGGTTTAAGGTATGTAATATCAAGGTTTAAAGTATAATTGTATCAAGGTTCAAGGTATGTATATCCAGAGGCCGAATTTAAAGAATTTGAGACGCGGCTCAAATATGGTTGGTTCCAAAATTGTATTCGATGTTTCAAGATTTAAGCCGGCGCTCAAACGAAACGGTTTTTGGCGGATTTAAGACACGGCTCAAATTCAGAAAATTTGGACTCAGGTTTAAGGTATTTATATCCAGGTTTAAGGTTTGTATATCAAGGTTTAAGGTATGAACATCCAGGTTTAAGGTCTGTATATCCAGGTTTAAGGTATTTATGACGTCCGGCTATAATTATGATAATTATATCGCGCCCATCTTCTATTTCAACTTTTAATTGTGGCTTTATGTGTGAGCATCTTCTCTTTGTATAGTATAAAAATAAAAGTTTGCGGATTTCATAATATTTTTTGCGCATTTTCAAAATTTTGCAAAATAAAAAAGTTTTAAACACAAATTTTTTAAATTTTGATCATTCATAAACCTTCCCTGGTTTCACGTGAGGTCCCATACAAAATTTGGGGCCGATCGGTTCAGCCGTTTTGACGTTTATTGGATACAAACAAACAGACGGAAAAGCAAAGAATATAGCTCTGGGAGATGTATATTCAGGGTTAAGGTATGTAATCAAGGTTTAAGGTATTTGTATCAAGGTTCATGGTATGTATATTCAGGTTTAAAGTCTGTATATCCAGTTTCAAGGTATGTATATCCAGGCTTAAAAGTATTTGCATCGAGGCTTAAGGTATGTATATCCAAGTTTAAGGTATTTATATCAAGGTTCAAGGTATATATATCCAGGTTTAAGGTCTGTATATCCAAGTTTAAGGTATTTACATCAAGGTTCAAGGTATATATATCCAAGTTTAAAGTCTGTATATCCAGGTTGAAGTTAGCTCCAGGAAGCACAATAGTACTGGAGAGTGGACCGGATGGATATCCAGAAGGAATCACCTCTATCGATACTTTTATTGTAAGTTTTTATATTTATTTATAGTACTTCATTTATAGTTTTTTAATATATAGTTTGAACTTTTGAAATTTTTCTGAAAAACGGAATTTAGTCTTTGCTACAAATTTAAACTTTATAATACTATATTTTTGCAATCTGATGGTGTAAACCTTTGATATTTCAGACTTAATTTATATGATCTAACAGAATCTCTAATTATAAATAAATACATAAGATCTAGGATATTGGGTTGCAACGGTATAGGGAATAGAAAATCGGAGTTTACGGCAAAGACTTAATTCCTTTTTTCAGAATTAATTCTATGTTTTCTCAAATTTAAAAAGGGTTATTTTTTCAGGCGGATCCTTCTTGTTCCTTGTTAATGAAATGTTCAAGATTTGATCTACAGGTTTTTTTCATTATAGTTTTGAAGATAGAAGATTATATTATTAAAAAAGAGTTTCAACTTGCAGTCTCAAAGTACCTAACTTTAAAGTGTATAAAAAACTTTTCCTTTTCTTTGGATCAAATAATTTTTCCTTTCCCTGACCTCCGGGTTTTCGATGGAATTAGTTTTATATTTATGAGAGTCTTCTCCTTCCAGTTCCTTCCCATAAATACAGATTATTCAGATAGAATCAGTTCAAGGCAAGTTTGTAAATTAATGTTAGTTACTCTCGATGCGCTCCAATATACGGAAAATGTCGTTTCCTATGATAGATAATAAAAACCTCATATGATGTCACTCTTGCCTCTTTAATGAGTGACATCATATGAGGTTTTTATCTATCTATGAATAGGAGACGTCATTTTAAGTACATTAGAGCGCATCGAGAGTAATCATCCTTATCATACAACCTTGGTTCCAGGTATTTTTTGATTGAGCTCGGTATATTTCTCAAACCAAAGGGAACTGATTATGCCGATTATATAATCCTGAAAAGGAATGCTGTAACATCAAGTGACCCTACTCGTATGGAGAGACATGTCCGATTGAGAACGGTACCCTTAAAATCTTTGTTTTATCAAGAATGATCTATGAATTTTTTTACAAGTGGTTCTTTCTAATTGTAGAAATTGTGGACGATAACTTCCACATAATTGATCAAATACAGGTTTAAAGGATTGACATTAAATTACAACGACATACGCTTTAATGGCTTCCCTTTTGGTTTTTGAAGTCACAGTGCACCGCGACATTTAACCATTATTATTGTTATAATCCTCAAACAATAACTAGCTGTCGTGAGCTGATATCCCTGATGGGTTCCGACCAAAGAGAATAGAATATATATTAGAGTGGGATTTAGAAAATCTCTCGGTATGAATTTTTTCAGTCCCTTTCAGCTTGAAAAGGAGTTCAAAGTGTAGAAATCATGTAAATATTCACAAATTATATGCAGTAGAGTACATTAATACAGTATAGTTCCCTAGACTATCCATTTCAATTTCGAATTTTTTAAAGCTGTTAAATAAACTTTATAAAATGAATTAGTTGAATAAAAAACATCATTTAATTTATAGTTAAAACGGAAAATCATCGTTTGTAAAGTAAAAAGGCATAGAGTATTTGTGAAATGATCATTGGTCAATTATGAAACCAGCTTAATTCATAATTTTGTTTTCTTTTAATGTTAATTTTAGATTTTCCGAAAGGTTATATAGCACAAATATGTGAAGTACACCTGCAGTATGGAAACAGTACAACAAAATGGCCGTTTTACACTTTTTTCTAGTAAATTCCACTCTAATATATATTCTTTTCTCTTTGGTTCCGACCATAATAAGAGTTCTTTCTGCAATCAACACTGATTGTTTGCATTTTAGACATTTTCTGGATATTTATGTAAAATTAAATTAATCCACAATTCTAAAGGTTTCAGCTCAGCTCTGTTCTATCTGTGTAATCTATGTCTATCTCAGATCTTTATCATGACAGGATCTCATATTATTAAGACCTTGAAAACAAATTATTTCAGTTGGTTTCTTTCAACAATATAATAATGGAAATAAAACGGATTGGATAAAGGGGAAAAAGGAAATGAAATATGCAAGATATAAAGGAACTGAACACCCGCAACACACTCTAATTTTCTAATTCCTATATCTTTGCAACCCTATTGTGGAAACCTTGAATACTTAAAGAACTTAGGCTATATGATCGAACAGTATTCACTATTCATAGTAAGAAGGTCTTTCGATATTGGGTTGCAGAGGTATAATATACAAGGTGTTCCACGAAACATGAGACAGTTGGTTAATAGATTTAAATGTCTTCTTCCCTAATTCGTTAAGTTCTTTGATACAAAAGAGAATAAAAAATATCACATTCAGTCATGTAATATAAAAATTTATTTCAAAGTAAAATATATTTTAGTTATACATTTTTAAACTGCAAAAAGTCTTTAATATCTAATGTACATAGTATATGGAAGAAGACATTCAAAACCATTCACCAACTGTTGTGCTTCGTGGAACACCCTGTAGTTTGAAAAATAAAATGTATAATAAGGAGAGAAATTCTCTAAAATCTAGAAAATATTGATCTAAAGTGATATATCTAAACACATTTTTATCTCAGGCACCACGTAGCAAGGATAGCAAATGCACAAAAGATTTTCTTCTGATTAACTCAAGGTAATAAAGATTAAAGAATTGTTCATATAAAGGAACTGATTACTCGCCTAAAACTGTGATTTAATCGTCCCTATATGCAACATTACTGACGTAGACCTTTGATATTTTAAACTATGAACTATGCTTTAAGATTAACATCAAAGTTTGAAATATCTGCGACACCAGTGTCCGAATTTTATGAATTTAAGACACATCTAAAATCTACCAAAAACCGGTTTCAAATGAGCGCCAGCATAAATCTTGAAAGATTTGATTCAAATTTAATTAAGTGGAACCAAGAAAATTTGAGCAGCGGCTTAAATTAAAACCGCGGCTCATGTTAAATAAAAACTACAATAATTGGGTTGATCATGTTAAATAAAAACTACAATAATTGGGTTGATCATGTTAAATAAAAACTACAATAATTGGGTTGATCATGTTAAATAAAAACTACAAAAATGATCAGATTTATCATTAATCATTCCCTTCTTATGTTTTTTCAGACAGGAAAAAGAAATTAGAAAACTTTTCAAACTAATAATAATAATTTCAATACAGTGAAAACCAGTAAACCCTGGAATATGAAGACGACTTTAGACTCAATTTATGACTGAATTGTCAAATGAACATGAGACACAGCAGTTGTGCAATATAAATAGACCCAATTCACTAAATAAATGATTTATTAAGTGACTGGGAATACTATTACGTTTTAACAACATACACTTCAGTATATTTTATGTCGTCTTCCTATTCCACAGTACTGTAACAAATATTGTCGTCTTTACAATAGTTCTTATACATATTAAAGTTTTGGAAGTGGTTACAAGGAAAAACACTGCGGACAGGACACGTTTCTTCAGTCGAGTAGAAATTTTGGAAACCGCCTGGTTTTAAGGTATCGCTATTAAAAAGTAAATTTCAGAAACTTCTATATATAGCTTTAATAAAGAAATAATTGGGGAAAACAGCATATTCAAGAAATAAAATGGAAAAGGCAAATAATTAGACTGACTTCAAATCAATTAAATTCTTTTAATTGCATTTATTTTTGATTAATTTTTTTTAGATTTAAAAGTGGTAAAGATGGTATACCTGGATCAGGACTTTCATGTGAGGTAAGAACTATTTAAAAAGATGAATAATAAATTCCAGTCTGTTTAGGGTTTATGCAGTTCAATGTTTACTTAAAGGTTATAAATTAATATTGATTTGAATCAATAAAATTAAATAAAATAATATGTTTAATGCATGTGTACAGGATAAATTTTAACGTTTCCTCGATCTGTAACATATCATTTTAAGAATTACATACAATACATGAGCAAAACGCTATATTCACAAAAAATGTGTTTGCCCAATTACAACGGTTTATACCCTTAAAATAAAAAAGAGAGCAACTTGAAATTTCGTCTACAGACCCTTTTTTCTATGTAATAAAGTTCTATATTTATTTATTTATATATTAGAAGTAGCTGGCCAAACGGCTGTACCGAATGGGCTGACATTTTTTGAGGGAGTAATATTGGGTTAAAAAAACGACATTTTTCTCAAAAATTTCACATTTTTTCAAGAATCGAAAAAAAATTTGCTTCAAAATTCAATTTCTGAATAATTTCACGGGCAACGCCGGTCAGTTCAGCTAGTATTCAGTAATTCAAATATGATTCATCTTTTTTAGATCACATGTTGTCCCCTGGAGTCCCTCAGTAGTACTATCCTAGAGGTTGGAAAGGAAAGCCCTGTCCCACCTTTGCAAGCGTGTTTTGGGACAACACAGACCTCTCCCACTTGTGGGATTAAAGGGTCTCTAGGCAATATTATTGGAGGACAGGTATTCAACTTAGTTTGTGAACATTCTATATGGGAATTAAAGGGAGTGTTCGCGAAAAATGAAAGGGGTATAGGTTGACGTCGAATTGAATTCGATATCGATCGCTATAAATTTTACTTTTATCTGTTCATACAAGGAGAACCCGTGGAACCCCATTTCATTTTTCGCAAACACTCCCTTTAAATATATAATTGAGATTATATTTAAATAATCCTTATTCTTTCTTTTTCCCTTTTCCTAGAAATTTATCACAATTTGATTTATAGGTTGAATTAACTATAAGGTCTATAGATGATCATCGAGTGAATGATCGAAAACTGAATATACTTGAGTTGAGTGTGGATGATCGATTCTTGAGTTGAGTGTGGATGGTCTAAAACTAAATATTCTTGAGTTGAGTGTGGATGATCTAAAACTAAATATTCTTGAGTTGAGTGTGGATGATCGATTCTTGAGTTGAGTGTGGATGGTCAAAAACTGATTATACTTGAGTTGAGTGTGGATGATCGATTCTTGAGTTGAGTGTGGATGGTCAAAAACTGATTATACTTGAGTTGAGTGTGGATGATCGAAAACTAAATATACTTGAGTTGATTGTGGATGATCGAAAGCTAAATATACTTGAGTTGAGTGTGAATGATCGAAAACTGAATATACTTGAGTTGAGTGTGGATGATCAAAAACTGATTATACTTGAGTTGAGTGTAGATGATCGAAAACTAAATATTCTTGAGTTAAGTGTGGATGTAAAGTGCCAAGCTGTTGAAGCTGGAAGATCAAGAAATCCATGAATATTAAGTTAGTCTGTTTCCAGAATACTTTAATACAGGGGGTCTCACAATCAAACCTTGATCAAAAAACGTTTTTTTTTCGAATACCAAATCATGTAGGATTATTTGTTACTGTTCTAGTGATTATATCGATACACCCTAAATAAATAAATATTTTACTGTTCTAGTGATTATATCCATACACCCTGGATAAAAGTTGCGCCAAAATTAGAATTTTCTCCCAAGAATTTGAACACTGAAGGAGGGAAGAAACAAACTTTTAAACTCGTAAATTCTTCAATCTTTCACAAACGACAAGGAAAATAAATCCAATAGGAGAAAACAAACGGAATAACGACAATTAACTTTAATATTTGTTGGTTCAAAGTCTTGAAAGAAACTGAGTCTTTGCCACAAACTCAAATTTTCTAATCCCTATACCTTTGCAGACTGATTGTGTAAACCTTTGATATCTCACACTTAGATTATTTGATCCAACAGAATTAATAGTTTGAAATATCTAAGGTCTACGACATTTGGTTGCAAGAATGTAGTAATTAGAAAACCAGAGTTTGTGGCAAAAATTCAGTTCCTTTAGCACACATTTAAGGGTTAACAGAATTGAGTCTTTGCCACCAATTCCAATCAAAATGACTTTTTTTCTCACTTTTAACTAAACTTAACTAAAATGTTCGTGACATTCCGTTTATCGCTAAGTGTCCCTTTAATCCTGTTAATCCTGTTAATCCTGTTAATCCTGTTAATTAAAGGAGACTAAGGAGAATGATTATACCTGGATGGGTATGTTGACCCGAGCTGACCCACAGAGGAAAAAGCTAGCAGCGTTCAAAGATTTAAATATTACAGGTAATGTGAAACAAAGGAATTGGGTTTTTGCGACACTCTGATTTTCTCATCACTTTGTCTTTGCACACATTTCAAACTATGAACTCTATTAGTTCAAATAAGCTAAGTTTGAAATATCAAATATTTACGCCTCACGTTGCAAAGATATAGGGATTAGACAATTTGTGTTTGTGGCAAAAACTCAGATCTTTACCCAATTACCCATGAAACCTTCAAAACTATTAAAAGTGATTTATCGTTTTAAATACTCAAGTTTAAGTAACACAAAGAACTTTTTTGGCATTCTATCTTTAAAACCTACAGTCTATTATAGACTCCCATTTTTAGAATGTACGATGAAATAAAGCGAAAAAGAATTATCCTGTACATCGTAACTGGATTTCATAACTGTGTGCAGTGTGCAGGCTGCAGTTTGTAGACAATTATTCCTTTATTTGAAATTTCACTTTTCCCTCCCTTGGTGTTTCCTCGATTTTATTCTCCCATATGAATCTTTATCTTTAAATTCTTTGTTTACTGTGATAAATTTGACAAGTTAAACAATCCAAGAAAATGATTTTATATTAAAGTATGAAGTGTGCAAAGGAAACTTTTGGTATATTGAGTTCAAAACTTTTAAATATATTTCATCTTTGTTAGATAATATTGTACTATTTCCATATTTGTAAAATCTACATTATACTTTATACAATGTACAATATACACAGTTAAACATCTCGCGTCAGATCAAATGTACTGATTACTCTCCTCAAATCGGAATTTTTTAAAACTTCATTTCATTTCATATTTTTATTCAACTACAAAGCATAAGAGATATTACAAATAAGCAATCACAATTTACTATGCAGTTTGGACACGCCTAACCAGGGTTGGTTATTTTGAGTGGTTGGCCCGAAGTTAGTTAACGATTCTAGACTCAATATAATTGGTTACACATATCAAGATATGTTTTTGGATAGGTAAGAAGTTGATTGGAAGGAAGGAGATTGTCAGGTGATCTGTGGCAGGGTGAGATCAGAGGGATTTTTATGTAGAGATAAATTAAAACACAGGGTGTTAATGATGGTAGTTACAGAAACAGAATTAAGCACCCCCCCACCACATTAACAGTTCAAGAAGATCGTGCGAAAAGAATGATATTCCATTACTTTTCATGGAGAAAGTATAGAACAACATTTAGTCCAAAAAATAGTTTTAAAAAGCACCAAACCCATCGTAACTATTTTTAATCAGTTTCCTTAAATGAGATTTAAATCAGAAATGTGAAAAAAATTGGGGGAAATTTCGCTGAAACTTAAATAAAATTAATGAATACGAAATTTAGATTTTTATATTCTTTACACATTGAGAACTCGAAAACTGTGGAGACGGAAGACGACCTTGAGACTCAATTTCGCTTAACCCAATCACGATCTATTAGATAAAATAACACCATCAGGTCGCAAAGATATACGAATTAGAAAGCTTGAGTGTGTGGCAACAACTCAATTTCTTTTCATTAAACAAATCAATTTGAATTGGTTATCTATCTCATCTGCACTTGTAATCTATCTCATCTGCACTTGTAGTCTATCTTCAGATTAATTATAAATGTTTGCTAAATATATTTCGCTTTATTTTTGTCATGGTTACCCTCGAAGGATGAGACTTCAGAGCTGACTGTATGGAATTTAGACTGTCTGTTTCCTTATCCCATTAAAAGACTTATATTCAAGACAGACAACTTAACCTTAGGATCGTCCTATTGCAAGAGTTTCAGGTCGTCTTTACTGTCTTATCCTTTGTGGGTAACCCTGTATATAATTGTATAATAATAATAACAATTTGAAACAATAAAAGATATAAAGAAAATAGAGAAAATAAAGAAATATTATCAAAATAACAAGGAATGTTTTTGGGATTGAGTCTTTGCTCCCATATCTCTGCAACCCAATTTGGTAGACCTAGGCCTTAAATATTTCAAACTATGAATTCCGTTGGATCAATTAATGAATAATAAAATATCGCAAAGAAATAAAAATCAGAAAATTTAAGTTAATGGGAAAGACTCAATTCCTTTATTCAGATTTGCCGCGTAAGTTTATAATACTAATAAAAGTTATATTAAATAGAAAAAGTTAAATAATACTATATATATTTTTTAAATGAAAAAGGGTAAATTTATCCAGATTTGCCGCGTAAGTTTATAAAACTAATACAAATTATATTAAATAGAAAAAGTTAAATAATATTATATTTAAATGAAAAAAGTTCAAATCCAGATTTGCCGCGGACTCATGTTCCGTTCTGCGGTGGGTCTCTGATCAGTCCGAACTGGATCCTTACAGCAGCCCACTGTACTTTAACACAAGGGGGACTAACACAACCCCACAAGTAAGAATTTAGTTTAATTGTTAAAATGCTTTAAAAATATTTTTGCTACAATGGTCGGCGTATTTATCAATACAATGAAGACGACTTTCCTATATAAGTTGCGATTTCCAACAACCTTTTCTATCAAATTACAAGTTTAAGAGAAACTGTTTAATTGACAGCTTCTCTTTGTTTCCATGGTTATGTTTGAAAGTTTTGGTGCGGTCAAAATTTCAAATCGAAAGTCGTCTTCATTGTGCTATTAATTAACGACGACTGTAGAAAATGTTGTTTAAGTGAAAGGAACGTTTATTGAATATGGTCTTAAATTCGCAGCATCAAAATAGTTTTTTTTATATATGTGGACAACTTTATTGGAAATATTATATCTTGGCATTTTTATAATCATCTTTCATATTTCTACTGAGGAGTAAATCTACAAACAATATTTGTTGCTGTTATTTTCTCAATACTTTAATCCTTTTTATGTTCTCAATACTTTAATCCATTTTATTTTCTCAATATTTTAATCCTTTTTATGTTCTCAATACTTTAATCCATTTTATTTTCTCAATATTTTAATCCTTTTTATGTTCTCAATACTTTAATCCCTTTTATTTTCTCAATATTTTAATCCTTTTTATGTTCTCAATACTTTAATCCCTTTTATTTTCTCAATATTTTAATCCTTTTTATGTTCTCAATACTTTAATCCATTTTATTTTCTCAATATTTTAATCCTTTTTATTTTCTCAATACTTTAATCCCTTTTATTTTCTCAATATTTTAATCCCTTATAATTCCTCAATATTTTAATCCCTTTTATTTTCTCAATATTTTAATCCCTTTTATTTTCTCAATATTTTAATCCCTTTTGTTTTCTCAATATTTTAATCCCTTTTATTTTCTCAATACTTTAATTCCTTTTATTTTATCAATATTTTAATCCCTTTTATTTTATCAGTATTTTAATCCTTTTTACTTTCTCAATATTTTAATCCCTTATATTTTCTCAATATTTTAATCCTTTTATGTTCTCAATATTTTAATCCCTTTTATTTTAACAATATTTGAATCCCTTTTATTTTATAAATATTTTAATCCCTTTTATTTTATCAATATTTTAATCTCTTTTATTTTATCAATATTTTAATCCCTTTAATTTTATCAATATTTTAAAAATCTGACATACGCTCGGGATCCTTTGGTCTTGGAAACCCTTAGTAAAGTAAAATTTCTTATAACTTCCCTGTAAATAAGTTAAATATAGATTGTTACCTACAAAGGATGAGACTGCAGAGACGACTGTACAGATTTATTCCGTAGCATTTATTAAACCCCATTTGTATTTCTCTATCATAACATTTTGGGCGAATTTACTAATTTCGATACATCTAAATTAACTTTATGATCGTGATATTGTAAGAGCTTCAATTCGTCAGTCACGGTGGACTAAGCCAGTGGGGTCGGTCAAATAGGTCTAGGATTAGGCCAGGTACTGAAAAAAAAATCTGAACGCGCCATGGGAGTTGTCATAGTTAGCCCTCCAACGGGACTATGCCAAGAAAATTGACCCCTGTCGTATGTTAGTCTGGTTAGGGCGACGTACTGTACCATAGGATCGGGCCAGTACACGCTGCTATCTGGCAGGCCGAAAAAAACTGGGCAGGTCCTGTTCGAATTCAAATTTACTACGGCCCAGAGTGTGCATTGAAGTGTCATCCTTTGTGGGTAACCCAGTATAATTTAGTCATCATATTTTCTCTCAGATACAGGGTGGTGCTGGGTAACCCTGTATATAATATTTTCTCTCAGATACAGGGTGGTGCTGGGTAACCCTGTATATAATATTTTCTCTCAGATACAGGGTGGTACTGGGTAACCCTGTATATAATATTTTCTCTCAGATACAGGGTGGTACTGGGAGAATGGAGAAGGACGGTTGAGAGTTCTAATGTTCGTGTTCATGAGCTCTCTATTCAGCTCCGACATCCTTCCTACTTCACCTCTAACTACGACAACGATATTGCTCTGTGGAAGTTGAAATCTCCAGCAAATTTAAATCTATTCAGGGTCATCTGCCTTCCTGTGCCAGGTACATGGGACAATATATATCCATATTCCATATACGCTTTGTCTGTCTGTTTGTTTGTATCCAGTAATTTCGTCAAAACAGCTGAACCTATCAGACCCAATTTTTGTGGTATCTCACATGACCCTAAAGGAATAGAATTTTAGAAAATTTCTTGGTAGAAATTTGATGAAACATTTATTTTGTAATCCGTTAATATAAATAAAAAATCCATGAAATTTTTAGTTTTGTATAATGTAAGAAAACAAAATGGCGGCTTAAAAAGCAACATTTAAAAGCTAAAATTGTTGTATTGATTTTATTGGTATCATATTGGATTATACAAGCTTTTACACCCAAAATACTTTATAAAACAAACAGAATTTTGTACATCCAAAATTGTACATGAAGATAGTTTTGAACATTTAAAAAAGATAAAAAGATGCTAAGAGAACAAAATCATGCAACCCTCTTAAAAAATGGTCGGGAGAAAGACGACAAAGTATAAACAAAGATAATATATTGTTTATATCAGGAACCCGACTGAGGAACCCCCTTCGACAGTATCAGGTTGGGGAGTAACATAGAGGAATAATATATTGATTATATCAGGAACCCGACTGAGGAACCCCGTGACAGTATCAGGTTGGGGAGTAACATAAGAGAATAATATATTGTTTATATCAGGGACCCGACTGAGGAACCCCCTGACAGTATCAGGTTGGGGAGTAACTGAAGACGGTTCAAATAACCTTGCTGATATTCTCCTGGAGGTTAAAGTTATAGCTGTGACTCAGGAGAAATGTGCCGCAGCCTTGCAACCATACCAGGTACACCTTTTATTATATATAACCTTTGTTATTTCAAACTCTAGTTTTCTAATCCCAATATCTTGCAGTCTGATAATATATAACCTTTGTTATTTCAAACTTAGGCATGTTGACCCAGCAGAATTCCTAGTTTGACAATCAAAAATCAAGGATAGGTTGCAAAGATAATTTATATCTACCTCTGCCCCATATTAAAAAAATTGCACTTAAACTAAAATTCTGTATATTAAGGTAACAAGTAACATGATATGTGCTGGTGGAGAACCAGGGAAAGATTCTTGCCAAGGAGATAGCGGGGGTCCACTCATAGGCGAGAATGCGGACCAGGTAGGGAAAGATTCTTAGTGGGGTCCACTTATAGGGTAGAATGCGGACCATTTAGGGAAAGATTCTGGTAGGGTAGAGGTGGTCCACTCATAGGAGGAAAATGCATTCCAGGTAGGGAAAGATTCTTAGTGAGGTTCCCCTTATAGAAGAGAATGTAGAGCAGGTAGGGAAAGATTCTTAGTGAGGGTCCACTTACAGGGGAGAATGTAGGGCAGGTAGAGAAAAATTCTTAGTGAGGGTTTACTTACAGGGGAGAATGTAGAGCAGGTAGGGAAAGAGTCCCCATATAGAGGAGAATGCATAGCAGGTAGGGAAAGATTATTAGTGAGGATCCCCTTATAGAGGAGAATGTAGAGCAGGTAGGGAAAGATTCTTAGTGAGGGTCCACTTACAGGGGAGAATGTAGGGCAGGTAGGGAAAGATTCTTAATGAGGGTTACCTTACAGGGGAGAATGTAGAACAGGTAGGGAAAGATTCTTAGTGAGGGTCCACTTATAGGGGAGAATGTAGAGCAGGTAGGCAAAGATTATTAGTGAGGGTCCACTTATAGGGAAGAATTCGGACCAGGTAGGGAAAGATTCTTTGTGAGGATCCATCACAAATCACATTGATTCAAAAGTTGTAAGCTCTTGCGAAAAAATCGATGATAGTTTTGCCAATTACTTCTTAGATATCAAAGCTGAAACAATTGCTCAATAATTCTAAAATGCACATGTCTAGGACTACAAAAAAAGAATAAGTGAGTTAATAAGATAAAAGTTGCAACATTTTAAAGTCGTCCCAGTCTTGAAAATTGATGCAACTTTTTATAGTATTCTGGATCTATGTGCCGCTGAAAGGGGAGAATACAGAATAAATAGAGAAAGGTTCTTAACTGTGCACTTAACACAAAAGACAGTATTCTAAATATAAATGAATTGTGAACTAAAAACATATGTAATGTGAGACAGGAACCCCTCTAGCCTCTGAAGAACAGTTTCCAACAAATTCCCCTCTATAATTATATAATCTCAAATATTACTGCAACCTAGCACAAAGTTAAAGTCTATTTAGTACCCGGATATTAGTAATATCTAACAACGAAATTGTAAAATAGGATTAAAGGATAGGGTTGAGAGCCTCATTTTTCTAGATTATTTTGGTTTTAGACCTTTAAACAACTAGTTTGTATTCAAAATAAACACTGTTTTGCTCAATTCAAGTCTCTAATGATTTCTGAAAACATTGGCTGCAGATACAATTTTTTTAAATATGATCCCTGGAAATACAGGTTTTAGAAACTTTCATCGTGAGTTGACCGTTCCTTCTTTTTGTTCAATGTAGGCACGATAAAATAAAAGATTTGCATGGTATACCACGGAGTGGGGGGGGGGGGTTAGTACAAAAATTTATCAAAATAATTTATATGTTTTAATGTACTACTAGATGTACTGATAAATGTACTAATGAATATACTAATGGGTCTACTAATGAATGCACTATTGAATGTACTAATGAATGTACTAATGAATGTACTAATGACTGTGCTAATAAATGTACTTATGAATATAAGGATCGGTGTATTAATGACTGAACTATAGAATGTACTAATGACTGCACTAGTGAATGTACTAATGAATGTACTAATGAATGTACTAATCGATGTACAATTAATGCACTAATGAATACTCTAATAAATGTACTTATGAATATTCTAATGGGCGCACTAATGAATGTACTAATGAATGCACTAATGAATATACTAATGAATATACTAATGAATATACTAATGATTATACTAATGAATATACAAATGAATGTACTAATGAATATACTAATGAATTACTAATGAATATACTAATGAATGTACTAATGAATATACTAATGAATGTACTAATGAATATACTAATGAATGTACTAATGAATATATTAATGAATATACTAATGAATGTACTAATGTACTTTATCGTATAGTCTGGAGAATGGCATCAGGCTGGTGTGGTGAGCTGGGGTCTGGGCTGTGGTAGGTCTGGAAAGTACGGAGTTTATACCAAGGTTTCAAACTACTACGAGTGGATACAGGATACAATTAAAAACTTATGAGTTTATTTTTAATAAATATTTATTTATAAATGTATAATTTATATACTGTACAGTGATAAAAGGACATTTATTTATTTATAATTATATTTATAACTGAGATATCTTATATCTTCGCAATAATGTTCAGAGATCATTTACAGAGAAAAAAAGTTACAAATTAGTCACAAACGCTAATTTTCTAATCCCCATATCTTTGAAATTTTAAACTTAAATTATTGATCTAACAGATTTCATAATTTGAAATAACTAAGGTTGCAAAGATATAAGGATTATTTAATCAGAGTTTTAGGCAAAGACTCATTTTCTTTACTGTTTATTATTTCTCACAGCACTATTAAACAAGCTCAGTTAAACCTCTTTACCAAGCTGGTTGCGTTTCCTAAAATAGTTTTTTTCGGGACTTTTCTATTTTTTTTATTCTCGTTGTATTCGATCTGCCAGGGCTCAGTGTCATTGTGTACATTAATATAGGGCTTAGTGTCATTGTCGTACATTAATATAGGGCTCAGTGTCATTGTCGCACATTAATATAGGGCTCAGTGTCATTGTCGTACATTAATATAGGGCTCAATGTCATTTTCGTACATTAATATAGGGCTCAGTGTCATTATCGTACATTAATATAGGGCTTAGTGTCATTGTCGTACATTAATATAGGGCTCAGTGTCATTGTCGTACATTAATATAGGGCTCAGTGTCATTGTCGTACAATAATATAGGGCTTAGCAAGGATGTAATGCAAGGAAAGTTATTTCAGAAGTGTACACATCTTTTGTACTGCAGTGTACTGTCCCTGGGCGGTAATGTAAACACAAGACGGATGTCAAAGCCTGACATGGGATCCATCTTTCACATGAAAAAATCAATCAAATATTCTAGTCATAGGAAACTATTATGTGAATTATCAAAATTTTCAAAATTTAATTCTTTTGACCTCCTCGGATACTAAACGAACACTGATGCATCATGGATGCATCTTTTTTGTTTACAAATCCCGTCAAAAGAGAACTGGTTTCAATGTGTACGTAGAGTACACACGACCGCAATTAACTTTCCTTTCATTACACCTTTGGGGCTTAGTGTCATTGTCGTACATTAAAATAGGGCTCAGTGTCATTGTCGTACATTAATATAGGGCTTAGTGTCATTGTCGTACATTAATATTTACAACATTGTTCAAATTCAAATTGTTCCTATTTCACCGTGTCCAAAATTGTTCCTAGTTCACTGTGTCCAAAGTTGTTCCTAGTTCACCATTTCCAAAATTGTTCCTAGTTCACCGTGTCCAAAATTGTTCCTAGTTCACCCAAAATTGTTCCTTGTTCACCGTGTCCAAAGTTGTTCCTTTTTCACCGTGTCCAAAATTGTTCCTAGTTCACCGTGTCCAAAATTGTTCCTAGTTCACCGTGTCCAAAATTGTTCCTAGTTCATCGTATCCAAAGTTGTTCCTAGTTCACTATGTCCAAAATTGTTCCTAGTTCACCGTGTCCAAAATTGTTCCTAGTTTACCATGTCCAAAATTGTTCCTTGTTCACCGTGTCCAAAATTGTTCCTAGTTCATCGTGTCCAAAGTTGTTCCTAGCTCACCATGTCCAAAATTGTTCCTAGTTCACCGTGTCCAAAATTGTTCCTAGTTCACCATGTCCAAAATTGTTCCTAGTTCACTGTGTCCAAAATTGTTCCTAGTTCACTGTGTCCAAAGTTGTTCCTAGTTCACTATGTCCAAAGTTGTTCCTAGTTCACTGTGTCCAAAGTTGTTCCTAGTTCATTGTGTCCAAAATTGTTCCTTGTTCACCGTGTCCAAAGTTGTTCCTTTTTCACCGTGTCCAAATTTGTTCCTAGTTCACCGTGTCCAAAATTGTTCCTAGTTCACAGTGTCCAAAATTGTTCCTAGTTCACCGTGTCCAAAGTTGTTCCTAGTTCACCGTGTCCAAAGTTGTTCCTAGTTCACCGTGTCCAAAGTTCCTAGTTCACTGTGTCCAAAGTTGTTCCTAGTTCATTGTGTCCAAAATTGTTCCTAGTTCACCGTGTCCAAAGTTGTTCCTAGTTCACCGTGTCCAAAGTTGTTCCTAGTTCACCGTGTCCAAAATTTTTCCTAGTTCACCGTGTCCAAAATTGTTCCTAGTTCACTGTGTCCAAAATTGTTCCTAGTTCACCGTGTCCAAAATTGTTCCTAGTTCACCGTGTCCAAAATTGTTCCTAGTTCACAGTGTCAAAAATTGTTCCTAGTTCACCGTGTCCAAAGTTGTTCCTAGTTCACCGTGTCCAAAATTGTTCCTAGTTCACCGTGTCCAAAATTGTTCCTAGTTCACCATGTCCAAAGTTGTTCCTAGTTCACCGTGTCCAAAATTTTCCTAGTACACCGTGTCCAAAATTGTTCCTAGTTCACTGTGTCCAAAGTTGTTCCTAGTTCACCGTGTCCAAAATTGTTCCTAGTTCACCGTGTCCAAAATTGTTCCTAGTTCACCGTGTCTAAAGTTGTTCCTAGTTCACCCTGTCCAAAGTTGTTCCTAGTTCACCGTGTCCAAAATTGTTCCTAGTTCACCGTGTCCAAAATTGTTCCTAGTTCACCGTGTCCAAAATTCAATAAAAAAATAACCTTGAAATACTGTGGCTAGAAGATTTAATACAGTAACTAGAAAAGAGAGTACCATTGCAGAAGTGTTTAATCCGTTCTAGAACATTTTTAAAATAATATTAGATGGGTAACTTTCTAGAAAATATTATTGTAATGTTAAATGGGTAAGTTTCTAGAAAACATTTTTATAATGTTAGATGGGTTAGTTTCTAGAAAACATTTTTATAATGTTAGATGGGTAAGTTTCCAGAAAACATTTTTATAATGTTAGATGCAGGTAAGTTTATAGAAAACATTTTTATGATGTTTTATATAAATTTCTCGAGACAGGAACATCAGATATAACTTTCATGGGTCGCGATCAAGAGCTGAAGTGATTAGCTTTCAGCATATACCCCCTTTCATTTTCCTTTACAGTCCCTTTTTATTAGTAAAAAGTTTTATAATTTCGACGCAATACAACGCCAAACATAAATTTTGCGTGAGTAGCAATTTTCTCGAAACCATTTTTTGTAGATGCTTCGGCGTAATTTGAAGTTCTATCTATTCACAGATTAAAAATGTAAAACCTTCAAAATGTTTTCTAATCCATTAAACGCCGCAGTTATCTCGAATTTTGCAATATAATAATTATTCATACTTTTTACTTTTTGGCAAACTTCACCTGCTTTTTCTTCCTAGCCTGGTTGACCTTCCCACTAGCTGAAAGAACTGTTAGTAAGCTCATCGTCACCACCTTAGCTTTTTTATCAATAGTTAAAGGTTTAAGGGATAGCCGGCGTAATTTCAGATAAACCTTCTTTTGTAGAGTGACATGTCAGATTCACAACAGTATGTTTTAAACCTTTGAATAATCTAGGACTTTTCCGGCCATTTCAACCCCATTTTAGAGATAAACACATGGAGTTCTCTGCCCTCGGTGTTTCAAATTGGTTCCTTCATAAATCACGCATTCTCTTCCTTGCATGGAGGGTCACTTGAAATTACGCTAGTGAACAATAATCTCAGTTACTGGGATATTTCTCTAATTTCTCTTTACGAAACTTTTCTTAATGTTTAAAGTTTTATAAACTTGAACTATTGAAGATTGTAAAGATTAGTTTAATGGTAGAATATGCTGTACACTGTTAGAAGAACATTTCGTTCGAAAATATGAACAGAATATTAGAAATATAAAGATTTTTAAGAACATTGTGTTATTTTTTTCAACACAATATTTGTTACATCAAAATGTTTTTGACAGCTCGATATTTCATCCAAACTGTTTGGAACTTCTAATATATATAATAATAATAATCATATAGAAGTCTTACAGTTTAAATGGCTTACTAAAATTGTTATGTCATGCAGTAATAACTAAAAAACAATGTAATGTTTCTATAAGAATAAACCGCGAAGGATTACGTTATTCCAAACTGTTATATACAGGGTGTCTCTGAACAAAAGTGTGTTTAGGCTTTTTAGCCTACTAAACATCACACGATGGGACGTTGACGACTCAAAAAAGAAAGATGAAAGAAGACAATCCTTACATTGTTTATTTGGGTAACCTACCCCTGTACATATTTGGGTAACCTACCCCTGTACATATTTGGGTAACCTACCCCTGTACATATTTGGGTAACCTACCCCTGTAAATATTTGGGTAACCTACCCCTGTACATATTTGGGTAATTAATAAACGGTTTCCTGAAGTAGTAGACTGAAAGCAAGAATACCCAGTCTAGTGTAGTCCACATCATTTCTTTGCTCTAGCAGCAGAATAGTTCTTATCTAAATACAATATTTTTTATTCACTAGCTCGTAAAACAACAATCCTGTCTGTAACCACATAATTTCATCTCTAATTCAAAATCTGTCGAAAATAGCGTGAACAACTTTTTACACATTAATCATATAGTAAACACTACAAAAATGAAAAAAACAAATACGAAAAATCTTCATTTTATATGTAAACATGGGCTAAAATTTTGACTTACTGACTTACTAAACAGAACTCTTTGTTTAAAGGACCAGATTTCTTTAGATCTTTATGCACCATTTTTTGTAATAATTCAACCTATAATGTACTTATTATCTGAAATAAGTTTTGCTTCGTTCATTATAATAATGCAATTTAAGATTCTCAGGTCATCTGACGTTTTCTTTCACTTCTAAATATATCAAAAACATTTGAGTTCAAAACAACCAAACATAGTGTCTAGTATTTTTGATCTTGGAGTTGAAACCTTCCTTTTTATCTGTATTTCTATATCCCCATGAAAGCCTCCTTTCAAGTTTAATAATTCAATATTGAAAAAGTTTTAGACTCTATATTGTTCAAAACCACATCAAGATAAGGATAAAGTAAAGTTTCCATGGTAAATCAACTCTTCTCATCGTTTTCCTCTGATTTGACAAAAATACTCATTTTTGCATGGATGGGTACAACGCGGTATATTAAGGTTGTCAACAGAGGAATTGTGTCTTTGCCACAGGCTCAAATTTTCTTTTGCCTATTTCTTTGCAACCTGATGGTATAACTCTTTGATATTTCAAACTTACATTATTCGATCTAACAAATTCATATTTTGAAATATCTAAGGTTCATGGTTGAAAAAAATAGTGATTAAAAAATCGGAGTTTGTGGCAAAGATTCAGTTTCTTTGTTTAACTTTGTTTATACTAAAAAAATTAACTTCATTCTAGGTATGGCATGTTTTGCCGAGATTTTATAACTTCAACGAACTGATTAAATTCGAACTTAATTTTTGCAGAGATATAACCATTAAATATAAACTATCTTAAGCTAGAAAAGTGGGGATATCTTATTCTTTCTTGATCAGAAAAGGTTTAAATCCATGAACTAATGTTTGTAAACATAATTTTCAATTTAAAAAAGACGTTTTTCTAGAACTTTGATATGTTTAGTTTTCTATCATAAATTATTTAAATTTTTTACCTGATCTGCATTTGAGCAAAGTAATCCAAATCCAAGAGCTCCTGAAGAAAGAATTGTAGATACCAACGAAATTCGGCTTCGACCAAACTTCGAAACAAGAAGCCTTACGGAGGACTAGGGTCAATTTAAATTCGAACCGGACCAAGACGCCTTGTGGCCTGTACTGGCCTAAGTGGTGCGCGGCAAGTATTCTTTAACGGCTCGGATTCAACTTTAATGGCGCGGTCGGACTTTTAGGATAAAATTTCAAAAATAATCCAATCCTAATTCTCCCAACTAGACCTAACTTTAGGTGAACCAGTTCACACTGTTAAAAAATCGATCTAAATTAATCTATTCCCCGGCGCGCAGCAAGTATCCTATACGTACCGGCTCGGATTCAAATTTGATGGAGCGGTCGGACTTTTAGAATAAAATTTCAAAAATAACCCAGCTTTAGCTGAACCAGTTCACACAATTTAAATGGAACTAAACCCATCATAAATCCCTTATATAAACCCAGCTTTAGCTGAACCAGATCTGGGAACTTTAGAATGGATAACCTTTAATCCAGACTGCTTAATCCTAATATCCACTGTGTAAACTTTTAATTTTAGTCCTTAATCCACTCTTTTTTCTCTCTCTTTGGATATCCGTACATTGTTTTTTCCAATGAAAGTGCAGGAATATAGTTCGTAAATTGTATTTACCAATGACAGCTTTGAAAATAAATTCTATCCAATGAGAAACCTCCGCAATTTCTGACAAATAAAGAATTTATTGTCTGTCATTTTGTAAATTAATCGGTGAAGAAAAATATGTAATAATACGTTTGAGATTCTATTTTAACTAATTTTAATTAATGTATTAATAAATAAGTGGGTGAGAAATTAAGTGAAGGCTCTTTCAGTCAAGAAAACGAACAAATCTGGAGTTTCTAGAATCAAATCTGTTGATCTAAATAATTAATCTCGGGACTAACATAATCTCGAGATTATGTTAGTCTCGAGATTAGCAAAAAGAAAGGATTCTGCATTAATCCATGATATCCACCATTCTAAAGTTCCCAGATCAGTTCACAATATTATAATGGAAATAAAATAATCCTAACTACCATATCTTAACCCGGCCAGCTTTAGCTGAACCAGTAAACACAATTTAAATGGACTAAACAAATCTTAACTCCCCTATCTAAACCCAGCTTTAGCTGAACCAGTAACACAATTTAGATAAAAATAAACTAATCTTAGCTCCCCTATTTGAACCCAGCTTTAGCTGAACCAATGGCCGAATTTAAAGAATTTGAGCGGCGGTTTAAATTTAAGCCGCGGTTTAAATATGGTTGGTTCCACTTAAAATTGTATCAAATGTTTCAAGATTTAAGCCGGCGCTTAATTTAAACCGGGTTTTGGCAGATTTAAACCGCGGCTCAAATTCTTTAAATTCCATCTCAGTTCACACAATTTAAATGAAACTAAACTAATCTTAACTCCCCTATCTTAACTCCGCTTTAGCTGAACCAGTTCACACAATTTAGATGGAACTTAACTAATCTTTACTCCCCTATTTAAACCCAGCTTTAGCTGAACCAGTTCACACAATTTAGATGGAACTAAACTAATCTTAACTCCCCTATCTAAACTCAGCTCTAGCTGAACCAGTTCACACTATTTAAATGGAAATAAACTAATCTTAGCTCCCCGATCTTAACTCAGTTTTAGTTAAACCGTTGAGGCTTTAAACATCTATAAATCTCTGTAAACTCCGACAAACCAATTTTAGTTTTAGTTGTTAATAGCATTCAAATCCTATAAATAATGGACTCCACCTTGCCCATACTAACTCAACATAACCGTTTCTGTCTCCTCCTACCCAATCTCAACATAACCGCTTCTGTCTCCCCCTACCCAATACACTAACTCAACATAACCGCTTCTGTCTCCCCCTACCCAATATACTAACTCAACATAACCTTTCCTGTCTCCACCTACCCAATATAATAACTCAACATAACCTTTCCTGTCTCTACCTACCCAATATACTAACTCAACCTAACCTTTCCTGTCTCCCCCTACCCAATATACTAATTCAACATAACCTTTCCTGTCTTCAACTACCCAATATACTAACTCAACATAACCTTTTCTGTCTCCCCCTACCCAATATACTAACTCAACATAACCTTTCCTGTCTCCACCTACCTAATATACTAACTCAACATAACCTTTCCTGTCTCCACCTACCCAATATACTAACTCAACATAACCTTTCCTGTCTCCCCCTACCCAATATACTAACTCAACATAACCTTTCCTGTCTCCCCCTACCCAATATACTAACTCCATCTAGACTGTCGTTTTCTAATCTATATAAACTCCACCTAACCTACTCAAATTATAAAGAAGTCCGCTAAAATATATATATATGCATCTATCTATCCAGACCTAAAGTGCATCGAACTAGACCTACAGTGCATCTAGCCTCCAATGCATCTGAGAGAAAGTTGAAGATAATGTTAGAATTTCTTTCTTTGAAGAAAACTACTTTTCCTTTCTTTACAACCTTGCCCTTGAACATTTACTGTGCGGTAAGTTACGGTTCACTTTCTTCTTCCGCGATTTCCAGATCATAGCTTTCATACAACTTCTCCTACTTCTTCTACGCTCATAAAATAATGTTCATGAAAGAAACTGAGTCCTTGCCACACAATATGACTTTTTAATCTCTATATCTTTGCAATCGATGTCATAGACCTTTGAAATTTCAAACTATGAATCGTTTTTGATCAAATAGTATTATAGGAATTCTAACATTTATTGTAAAATATTTGAGATTTTTGCTAATTCTGAAGATAAAAACTAGTGATTTATAGTTCTAAAAAAACATGTCTAGTGCTACAAAAAAGTATAAGTAAGCTCGATAGCTAAAACGAAAGTCCAAGGCATTGCAACACTACAAAGTCTACAAAGTCTTGAAACTTGATTTAACTTTGTATAGCGACTGTAGTCTGGACCTAAGTGCAGCGGAAAATCAACGATTTTCATTTTTACGAGGCGAAAAGTTTGAAATAGACCAACATCCAACAAAACTAAAAATTTTTCCTTACTTTCATATTTCCATTATACTGAAACTGATCTGTTAATAAAACAGATTTATGTCCAATATTTTTGTTCAATTATACACTATACAGACTGTATACAGGGTTACCCACAAAGGATGAAATTTTAGAGAGGACTTTATTAAATTCAATGAGCACGTATTTTTGCATCCCTGACTTCTGGCAGCAGAAAACTTGTTTCTTTCTTTTTAATTCGGTAAATAAACCATAAAAAGACTTTATTTAAAGCAGAACACCAAATTAAAACTAAAGATTGTGAAATTTTAAAGAAGTTAGTTTTACCCTTGAACAATTAATTTGTTGTGTTGGTTTTTGGTTTATTTTTTTCAAATATTTTCTTTTTGGGTAAAAATTGGCCTATAGTTTAAGTGTAAGAAAAGAAAAACAATTTTGAAAGGATGGAGTCTTTGCCTCAAACTATGATTTTCTAATCCCTAAATCTTTGCAACAGAATGGTGCAAGCCTTAGATATTTCAAACTTTGAATTCCGTTAGATTATCAAATCAATTAAAATCAAGATGCTAGGGATTGTCTAGCACCTTCCCAGCCTGACAAGAGTACGCTATCACGAACTCCACCAAACCAGGGGTTTTAAGCCTGACGCATATCCTAATAATCTCAGTTTTAAATATTTACATCATCAGGTTGCAGAGATATAGGGATTAGAAAATTTGAGTTCGTGGCAAAATCTCAATTTCTTTTTAAAACTTCTCATATTTTTTTATCAAACATGACAAATATTGGTCACCTGACATAGCTGTCTTCTTAGCTGAAAAGCTGTTTAAATCAATGGGTTCAGAAGAAGCTGTATCGACGGGAAGAGCTAAGTCTTTTTTACTTTTTGCTTTTGCTTCAGTCATTATTTCTTAAACAAACGACTTCATTTAATTTGTTTGCTATTGTCAATTTTTTATATGATGTCTTTGCTATATTTGCTACAGTTAAACCCAAAACTTCGGAAGAATGTAAAAAATGTCGAATTTTTCAATCTCAAAAATTGTAAAAATAAATAAATAGCCATAAATTATGCGGAAACAGTTTTAAAGAGCTCCATATAATTATTCAATAAAAAAACTAGATTTCTGCAGCATAAAATTATCATGAAGGTTTAGAAAACGACATTTTATAAATTATTTCGACTCTGAAGTACTGGGTTAAACTGAATATAATTTTTTTCTATGTGAAATATAAACTTCCAAACTTCTCTTAGCCGCAGCGCAGGGTTCCATTGCCTTTCTTAGCCGTAACGCTCGGCCTACTATACCCAGTGTCCTTGCTACAATGCACGGCTTACTAGATACAATGCTCGACTCCATAGCCTCCACGAACCGCATCTAGTAGCCTGCGGCGCATAAAAAGGCCTAACCTGACCATACATAATGTGTAATGTGCTTTTTTATATAGAAAAATTGTCATATGGAAAAATTGACATTTTATAGGTGTATAAAGGAAAAAATTCAAATGTGCTTTAATCTCTCAAATAGTGTTCGAATGTGCTTTAATCTCTCAAATAGTGTTCGAATGTGCTTTAATCTCTCAAATAGTGTTCGAATTGTCATTTTTCTTTTAATAAACTCACATTAATTCAAGATCACATTATTCACTGAATACTGTATAATATTGTATATAATGTATATTGTAAATTGTTGCATAGTGAATTAGTTTTCAGTTGTAAATATTGCCGTTAACTAACAAAGCTTTATCATTAAATATTGTGGTTTCTACCAGAGTTTAATTAGGGGAAATAAACCTTAATTAAACTAGAAATAACATTTTATTTTACTTTTTATATCTCCGCTGTAAATATGTATTTTATTGAAGGCTGGAAAAGGTTATGTTCGCATTTTATTAAACTTTCCAGGAAAAAATTATTTTGGTTTAGATTATTTTAGTTTGACATGCATAAAAGGATTCTTAGAAATTGATAAGCATTTATACTCTTAACTGCACCATACTTCCAATCGGGAAATTATTGGAATTTTTCACTAATTTATTAAAACTCTAACACAATATTTCGTTGGAAAGTTTTTATTGTAAATTCTCTCTAACAAAATTTTTTTACCCTATTGGAGATGTTTTTTTTTCTGATCGAGATATCCTTGTTTTGCAATTAATTTTTTTTTTCAAGCAACAATTTTTAGTTTCTTTTTGAACATTGTTGCAATCTGAAAACTAAAAACATGTTGTAATCTAAATTCTAATAATTTGTATTAGGATAGAAGTTTCTTTCAGTAATTTTCTGAATATGGATTCTTTCCTAGTAAGATGTTTCCTAATATAAATGCTCATTAACTTTTAAAAACAGTTTTCCTCATCAAGACTCATGAATTATGCTTCTAAACTTGACAAGGCAAAAAAAATAACACTTGAATATTGTTCTAATTCAATCAAGATATGTTTTCATATTCTTATATTCTGACGTTTTTTTCAAAATTATCAAAAATCTTTTACTTTATATTTTTTTACAGTTTTGAATTATTAAATTTCCAAAAAAAAGTAACTATTATGACCATTGAGCAAAACCTTTTTTTCCATTCTGTACCATGATTATATTTTTATGCTTTTCTTTAAGAATGATTATCGTGAAATTAGCTTTAATAAGAATACTTATTACACTAAAGATTTAAAACGAAGCTAAAGGAAGTGTTCACCGATTTTGTATTGTCACATCAGTCCAAATTTTGACGGTAAATGTTGGAAACGTGTTAGAGTTAAAAAATAAAAATTGTGAAGAATTTTTGCATATACACTCCCTTTGAAAATACAAAATCCAATTAAAATATTGAGCAGGTTTAAGAGTTTAAAGGCATGGCTCTGAAGAAGTAATAATTATATTATTGACAGTTTAGGAAAAAATATTAAATTGTCTTCGTGTTTTTATATCCAGAGTTTGGAACCTATTTTGTCCCCTTTAGTTGGGTTTGATTAGCTCACGAAACCATGAAACCGTATTTTTCTCATCGTTATTTAATTGTAGGTTTCCAATATGCATCAACTGCACAAACTGCATTGGATTCTGCAATTGACTACATTGTACTAAAAAAATGTATTGTACTGCAGTGAACTATTTAGGACTGTACAGTGTACAGCATACAGAAAAAAACTACATTTGACTGCATTAAACTACATTTGATTGAATTGAAGTACATTTGATTGCAATGAACTACATCTGACTGACTGCAATGAACTTCATTTAACTGCAGTGAATTACATTGGACTGCAGTGAATTAAATTGGACTGCAGTTGACTACTATGTACTGCAGTCAACTGCATTAAACTGCAATGAACTACATTGAACTGCTTTGAACTACATTAAACTGCAATGAACTAAATTTACCTGCATTGAACTACATTTGATTGCATTGAACTATATTTGATTGCAGTGAACTACATTAGACTGCAGCAAACTACATTTGATCGCATTGAACTACATTGGACTGCAGTAAACTACATTACACTGCAGTGAACTACATTGGACTGCAGTGAACTACATTAGACTGCAGTGAATTACATTGGACTGCAGTGAGCTACATTGGACAGCAGTGAACTACATTGGATTGCAGTGAACTACATTGAACTGCAGTAAACAACATTTGATTGCATTGAACTACATTGGACTGCAGTAAACTACATTACACTACAGTGAACTACATAAGACTGCAGTGAGCTACATTGGACTGCAGTGAACTTCATTGGACTGCATTAAACTACATTAGACTGCAGTGAGCTACATTATACTGCAATGAGCTACATTGGACTGCAGTAAACTACATTAGACTGAAGTAAACTACATTTGACTGCAGTGAACTAAATACATTGGACTGCAGTGAATTACATCTGACTGCAGTGAATCACATTTGACTGCATTGAACTACATTGGACTGCAGTAAACTACATTTGATTGCGGTGAACACATTTGACTGTGGTGAACTACATTTGATTGCGGTTAACTACATTTGACTGCATTGAACTACACTTGATTGCGGTGAACTACATTTGATTGCGGTGAACTACATTTGACTGTGTTGAACTACATTTGATTGCGGTGAACTACATTTGATTTCGGTTAACTACATTTGACTGCATTGAACTACACTTGATTGCGGTGAACTACATTTGATTGCGGTGAACTACATTTGACTGTGTTGAACTACATTTGATTGAGGTGAACTACATTTGACGGCAATGAACTACATTGACTGCAGTAAATTATATTGGACTGCAGTTGACTACATTTGATTGCGGTAAACTACATTTTACTATAATTATCTATATTAAACTGCAATTAACAACATCTACATGGGACTGAACTGAACTACATTGGATTGAATCATTAAAGTAAACCAGATAAAATTGCATAAAACTACATTAAACTGTAATCAACAGCAACAGCAAATCTAATGTCTACTTGAGGGAAGTTCTAAAATTATCTTAGTCATAGAAATGAAAGTGATTTAAACATTTTTATCAATGATCTTATACATAAAGAGCCAACCTTATGAGTGCAATAAAGTAATACAATTGCATTGGACTGCCCTTATTGCAGAAAAGTTCTGCACTGATGAGAAAATGTTGCGGATTTCTAGATATCGTTGAAAAGAGTGGCCGGATCCAACAATTATATCCAACATTTTACGTTTTATTTCAAAAGCTTGGGAACCGTTTCCTATTCACTTCAAACTTCCCTCTNTCTATAACTCCCTTTCCCTTTCTATGCAATGTCCATTGTGCACTTGTGCATCCAATTTTTCCCTCATTATTACTTTTGCAAATTGTCAGTTTTTAACATGATTAATTTTTATCATTTACTAATGAAGGCACCTCTCCAGCCCACCATCTTAACTAATTACAATGAAAACGTATATAGAAAAAAGTAACATTCCTTTATAAAAAGCTGGTTTTCTGGTATGCAACAATTTTCATTTAATCCCTCCCCTTTTAAAGATAATAATGAATAATAATAATAATTTGTTACTTTTACAAAGGAATGTCGTTTACTCTCACACAAATTAGAATCAATGGAAATTTAAGCCCCCTAGGGATTCAATGATAAACCCGAGGGCGCAGCCCAAGGGTTTATCATTGAATTTCCATTGATTCTAATTTGTCTAATAGTAAATGATACATTTCCTTAACTTAGGTTAATTTTTAACTAGATAGATATAAATCCCAGTCAATGTTGTTGAATGTTGAATGTTGTACTTTTAAGAATCATTAAAATATAGGAGAAACGAGGATATATCATTTGTTGGTACGAATTCAGTAGAGCTTTCCCAATCCTTGACTCCTAGATTTTTTTATGTATTTGTATTATTATTTTGATGGTTATCATATTATTTTTATGAAACTGAAGATTATGAAGAGTGGATTAAACATCTGTAGTTCGCTATTTCATGGTTTGCATGGATATCACATTAGCAATATTATAGGAATTAAGTTGGTGCCACAAATTCAAATTTTCTCATACATATATCTTTGCAGCCTAAGAGTGTAAACCTTTATGAACCTATACGACATCGGTTTGCAAAGATATAGGGATTAGAAAAGCAGAGTTTGTGGGCTGTGGCCAAGACTCAATTCCTTTAGATATTTATTCCTAATCCCAATTTTGTTGTCTCATGTAAACAAAAGTTTCTTTTTCTTTATCCTCAAATCTCATCCAAGTGCAATTATTGCAAATAAAATGCAATTTCTAATTCTTCTTATCAAACATTAAACTGCAAACCTTTATCTTTGAAAACTGATTCTCCGAAAATATACTTTAGAAAAAGAGGAAAAGGCTGAACCGAAAGGGCCCAATATCATATCGTTTTTTGCTTGAGTCAAAGATGTCTACTAAAATTTTAAAATAAGTCTAAAAT